GCGCCGTCCGTTCGTCGCCATTTGAATTTATTTCTACGAGGTTTATCTAAGGAAGGTATGTGGTATTTCTTTCTTCTCTAACCTGGTTGTCTCTCCTACAGCGTGGCCGCCGTGTCACATTATTTTCTTACATTTTCATGAAGATATTTCTCCGCAGTACGTCCGTCCGTTAGTCTGAGATGGCCACGGTCCGTCTGTTAGATCCCAGGTAGCCAGCGGATCTGGGCCGATTCTGGCTAAGTGTCGGCACACTCGGTTGAATTCCGGCATTGGCTCACCAACACTGAGCCAGATCTGGGCCAGTATAGGTTGCCAGATCTGGGCCAGTATAGGTTGCCAGATTTGGGCCAGTTTCGGTTGAGATATGGCATGTGGGCTGAAATTAAATCATAAAAAATGTGCAAGTAACCACACATGCACACACAGACACACAATAAAACGACATATACCATCTGGCTGTTGTAATTCAGTAAACTTGTAAGAAAAAAGTGCCTGTGACAGCCATATTATATTCTCAAACTTTAGTAGGTTAAACATAAAACTGAAAACTTGCTATAATCACAAAAGCCACTTGATTTAATACAACGGTGTTGAGTGAATCCATTCAGTTCCACCCTTGGTGGTCATGTGACCTAGCTTGTCTGAGTTTCCATAGGACAGGCATTGCACTTGCTTAGTAGCTCACGTCTTTTGCTGAAGCAGACCGGACCGTTGGCGCAACCAGTTGAGCTCAGAGAGTACGAGGATTTCAGAAACGTTGGAACAAATATCTGAGTAAGTATGCTTTTCAAATGGACATTGTTAAGTTGGTGTTTAAAATAAAAAAAAGTGATATTGCTGGCGTTCGTGTGCAATGGTCGCATAAATATGGGCAATATCTGAGCACATGTTAGCTAACGTTTTCTAGCTAGCGAGTTCGCCAATTAACAGAATTGGCATTGTAGAAAAACATTACATTACTAAACAGGGGATCTCCCCCAGAAGCAGCATTATTAGACCGCCACACCGCTTTGAGTTTTGTGGCAATTTCATACGTTCATCTTACTTAGGCTGATGAGCGATTGGGCAAAGGAGTAAGGGTGTGGCGGGCAAAGGAGTAAGGGTGTGGCTGTGTGGCTGCAGTCATGGCCAGTATGAGTCACGATTTGTGGTAAAATGTACATTTTTTGTAACTGCATGAGTCAAATTGCACTTAGGTATCCTTCATAATGCTCAGCATTGTGGGGAGGGGGGCCGGTAGTCTTGAGTGCTTGTGTGCGCGAGCGCGGGTTAAGTTGTAGCTCCGCCATGGCCTCGTGTAAACCGAGGCGCATTAATATTATGTTGAAGCACAGTACGTATTACTCCGCGAGGTACCCATCACTATTTATATGATTGTAGTTATTTGTTTTAAAAAAAATTGATAGACGTTTTGTCTCCTTTACAATATTTTTCATCTAAATTATTATTTTTTTTTTTTCGGGTCCTTGAGATTCGGAGCCCTGAGATTCTACTCCACCACCTCAAATCATTTGCCCTGACGATGGAGCTCTACTCTGAATACAATAAATCATCAAATCTGCGGAGAAGGTCCAGGGTCACAGTAAAGACACGTCTTGCATCACTTTCCACAAATAGTCAAACCTCTGAAGATGACGTTGCTGACAAAAGCAATCAGCTTCTTGATGTGGAAGTTCCTTGTGCTGAAATTTCATATTGTGATGATGAAGCTGCAGGATGTGGTTATCAAAAAGTGCAAAGTGGTGATCACAGTGGTCATGATATAGAGACTTTTATGGAAAGTGAATGCACAGAAGAGGCTTATGCTGAGACAGTACATGATGATGAACTTGATAGTGATGATGACATTCTACAGCCAACTCTCACTACTAGCTTGATGAACTGGGCCACAGAGTATAGTATCAGTTTGGTTGCCCTGACTGCCCTGTTGTCAGTGTTGAGATGTCACCATCCATCTTTACCTAAAGATGCCAAGACACTCCTCCATACTAACAGAAATTACATAATCAACCAAGTTGCAGGAGGTGCATACTATTACTTTGGGATTGTCAGTTCTCTCACTCGTTTCCTGAACAATATTTGGGTAAAAATTCCTGATCGTCACACAGTCAGTCTACAACTAAATTTTGATGGGCTTCCATTGTTCAAGAGTTCAGGTTTCCAGTTATGGCCAGTTCTGGGGTTAGTGCAGGGATTTTCTGTAAAACAAAAGCCTTGTTTGATTGCCTTGTTTGGTGGCAAATCAAAGCCACATCCTGTGGGAGATTACTTAAAAGATCTTGTGGCAGAGCTAAAAATCTTAGCATCTGGCTTTACATTTAAAGGGAAAATATTGTTCATAAAAGTAACATCAATAATATGTGATGCTCCTGCCCGAGCTTACATTAAAGCCATAAAATCTCATACTGGGTATGCAGGCTGTGATAAATGTACATCATATGGGCTTCGTCTAGGTAGCCGTATGACTTTTCCTGACAGCAGAAGCCCTGCCAGAACAGATGAAAGTTTCAGACTTCAGGTGGATGAGGAACATCACAGAGACATTTCCCCACTTATTGAGACTGGCATTGGAATGGTTTCTATGTTTCCCCATGATTATATGCATCTTGTTTGCCTTGGGGTCACAAGGAAGCTCCTAGAACAATGGGCAGGCAGTACTGGTCCACTTAGGTGCCGTTTGCCTTTCAAGAAAGTAAATCAGCTGTCAGAAACACTTATGTCTTTCAAATGTTACATGCCCACTGAATTTGCCAGGAAGTCCAGATCTGTTGTGTTGAGATGTCACCATCCATCTTTACCTAAAGATGCCAAGACACTCCTCCATACTAACAGAAATTACATAATCAACCAAGTTGCAGGAGGTGCATACTATTACTTTGGGATTGTCAGTTCTCTCACTCGTTTCCTGAACAATATTTGGGTAAAAATTCCTGATCGTCACACAGTCAGTCTACAACTAAATTTTGATGGGCTTCCATTGTTCAAGAGTTCAGGTTTCCAGTTATGGCCAGTTCTGGGGTTAGTGCAGGGATTTTCTGTAAAACAAAAGCCTTGTTTGATTGCCTTGTTTGGTGGCAAATCAAAGCCACATCCTGTGGGAGATTACTTAAAAGATCTTGTGGCAGAGCTAAAAATCTTAGCATCTGGCTTTACATTTAAAGGGAAAATATTGTTCATAAAAGTAACATCAATAATATGTGATGCTCCTGCCCGAGCTTACATTAAAGCCATAAAATCTCATACTGGGTATGCAGGCTGTGATAAATGTACATCATATGGGCTTCGTCTAGGTAGCCGGATGACTTTTCCTGACAGCCGAAGCCCTGCCAGAACAGATGAAAGTTTCAGACTTCAGGTGGATGAGGAACATCACAGAGACATTTCCCCACTTATTGAGACTGGCATTGGAATGGTTTCTATGTTTCCCCATGATTATATGCATCTTGTTTGCCTTGGGGTCACAAGGAAGCTCCTAGAACTATGGGCAGGCAGTACTGGTCCACTTAGGTGCCGTTTGCCTTTCAAGAAAGTAAATCAGCTGTCAGAAACACTGAGGTCTTTCAAAAGTCACATGCCCACTGAATTTGCCAGGAAGCCCAGATCTGTTGAAGAGAGACACAGATGGAAGGCAACTGAATATAGACAGTTTTTGTTGTATACTGGGCCAGTTGCGCTATTTGACATTCTTAGCTCACCAGTTTACAACAACTTTATGTTGCTTTATGTTGCAATATCAATACTGGCATGTCCAAAGCTCTGTGTGATATTTTGTGACTTTGCAAAGACCTTGCTTGTGTCTTTTGTGGAACACTTTGGACAGCTTTATGGCAAGGACAATTTAGTGTACAATGTGCATGGCCTTATACATCTCAGTGATGATGTAAAAAAGCATGGCCAGTGGTTGGACAACATCTCGGGGTTTCCATATGAAAACTACCTTGGTGAAATAAAGAAAATGATCCGCAGCCCCCAGTATCCAGTTGCACAAGTTGTGAGACGAATATCAGAGCTTGAAAATGTAGTTTGTAGATCAGACACACAAAATGAAACCAAACTCAGAAAACCACATTGTGATGGTCCACTGCCATTGCACATCACATGGCCAGTAATGCAGTACAAAGAAGTTAGTCTTCCACACTTTTGTGTCAAGGTATTCACAGGTGACAACTGCATATGTCATGATGGCGTAGTAGGTGTAGTCCAAAATATCATTGAGTTTGGCGGAGATCCATATTTGGTTTATAATGAGTTTACAAGTTGTGCAAGCTTTTTTGACTACCCAATAAATTCAGGTCAGTTGGGTGTGTTCCAACTCACTGACTTGTCCCAGGAACTAAAGTGTATCAAGATGAATGATGCAGTGACAAAGTATGTACTCCTCCCATTCAGGAACAAATTTGTGGGCATGCCATTTCTCCATTTGTCATAACAAATGAACTGGGGTTGTGTTGCAAGGTGAGCAACTGTTTACTGGGGCTGAGAATCATTTCTTATACCTATATACCTTTTGAAAATGTACTAAGATTTAGTGTGTCTATTCAGATTTTTTACATACTTCCTTATGTTTTTTTTGTTTGCACATTTGTATTTTTCTTTTCTGTATATAACATAACCTCAGTTTATCAGGGCAATAGAATGTTGGAGTGTATTTTCAAAAATAATCTGTTGCAGCAGTCCTAAATGTATGTATATGTGTAACGTATATATGTATTTGTGTTTTTTTTTAATTGAATTTTATGGCTTAATGTTTTAAATGATTTTGCATGCAATTCATATTATTCCTTTCAAAGATGATGTACCACATTGTTGATTTTGTGGACACGGGAGACACAGAAGTTGTTCCAGCCTCATGGGTTCATAATGGAAGAAGCTTCTGGCCTCCCTATAAAGCAAGGGAGCAATGCAACCGGGCCATAGCGAGAGCAGACCCTCCCAAGGAATTCTGGGAAAAGTATAACATCCGCATAAGGGCAACTAAAGGTATAATTTCATTCATTCATTCATTTTCTACCGCTTAATCCCTTGGTATAATTTCATTATCTGTTTAATGCCACACCAACAAACTACACTAGTAACTTTTAATGAACAGAAATGTGAAAATTAATTGAGAACTCTTTTTAAGATACATTTAGTGAGGCGCGACTTCTGCTCCCAAAGGCCCTGCTTACGTCAGATCTTCAAACCGAAGATGAAGAGGATCAACGTCCAGCATACAAGAGGCGGAAGAGAAGGTAAGATGGTCAAAAATGTGGTAGCAACAGGTGGTTTTGGAAAATTGATTTGAAATAATTTGTACATGGGTTGTTCCACAGTGTATTTACTGTAGTCTAGTGGAAACATCAGTGACTTTTGAGGGGAAAACGACTTGAATTTAGTTTACCAATGTAATCAATTTACTGCACAAGGTTCATGTTTTTTTTTGTGTTTTTGTTATATTCTGAAATATAATCAGTTTGTTTTGTACATTAGAGGCATGAACAGAATCTTTGAGTCAGAGAGTGACCAAGATGACAATGACGGCAGCAATGAGGCAACCCGAGGGAAACGCACCAGAGCTCCATTGGCCTTACCAACTGCTCCAACCATTGGTCCTCCAGCTGTCACCAGTAGTGAACAGCCCAGAGGAAACCACACCAGGGCTCAATTGGCCTTACCAGCTGCTCCAACCATTGTTCCTCCGGCTGTCATCACGCCAGCAATTTTGCCTCCAACTCCCTCCAGACCAGAACTTTCTCCTTCAAGTTTCCAAAATGCAGCAACCCCTCGTGTGCCCAGGGTAAACGACCAACTGATGTGTGAGCGTAAGTCTTTTGCAGTAGTTATTGGTCCCGTTTTGGTTGTACTGACGTATAGCTGTATGGATGGTCAGTTAGCTGTTGGATTGTAACAATCTGTTCAGATATCCATGGTGCAAACTGATTCTTCCCCTAATATGATGTATATCAGTTTGACCATTGTAGTTTTAAGTGAAATGCCTCAAGGCCAATTGGATAAATAACCTCACAATTTGTTACTGGCACTCACTGTGTTTTGTTGGTATTTTACAGCAATTCTACGGGAGATATTAACAACAATGGAGACCATTAAGCAGCAACAGCAGATTATTTTGCTACAGTTGCAAAATAATCTTCGAAAGCCTATAGAGGTGCCAGAGGTTACTGGAATTCCTCTGAAAACACTGGAAGAACTCCTGAACCTTGAGCAGTCCGTTGCTGCACAGGGGGAACACAAACAAAAACTGGTAGGTGTTGATATTGGACAGAAATACAATTTTTGACACTACACAGTATCTATAAGAACAAATCATACCTCTTCTGTCACTCTCCATGGAAATATGCCATCACTAAATGTCATCAACTGTCTTCTGTCTCATATAGTGACATAAGCCAGTGTTTTAATACAGAATAATTGAAGGAATTAAATGTGATTCTTTATTGTGTTTTTCAGGTCACCTACTTTGGTCTGGCAGGGGGCTTAACAATAAAGGAAACAGTTTGGCGAATAATGGCTAAACTGATGACGAACCAGCTGGCCAAGCAAATCAACTGGCGTGGAGTACATGGGAAATATGGTTTTGAGCAGCTTGTCCTAAAAGATGTTGTCCTCAGTAAGTTTTTTGTATTATAGGGTTTGCAGCAGCCAATGATGTAATTATTTTGTGTTTTTAATGTAATAAAGCCATTAAAGGTTTAATAACTCCTGCCGATAATGTAAAAATTTCCTAATATCTTAATTTCCTAATATTACCCAATCAAGTAATCAAAATGTCACACTTCGACATCTGCTATACAGTATTAGGAACAATTATGATTATGGGTTTGGTAATGTGTAATATCTACAGTATATTTGAGTCCATTTTTGTGTCTCCCTTAGAAATTAGGACCATTTATTTTTAACTTGATGGTTAATGATTTCTATCAGCTCTATCGATTCAGGTGTGGACACATGTTTGCATATTCAGTTACTCATGTAAAGTGTACATTTAAATCTAAATGTGAGTATTCTGAAATAATGACCACATTCTTACATGAAAAGTCATTTTCATTGAACTCCTTAATTGAAGCACACACCTTTTTTCAAAACCTGTTAAAATTATTCAAACTATTGAGGTAACTGGCAGTATTATGTCCATGTTTCAACATCTTGATACAAAACTGAACCCTAAAACAGATAGTCCCAAGACTCTACTGTACATCAAGTGACAGTGTTTTTTTCTTTTTCTTCCTTCTTAATATTGCAGAATCAGTGCGGCAAAATTCTGCAACTGCAAGCGCACCAGATGGAGAAATTGAAAAGTACATAAAAAGGTGGTTGCAGCTGGCATCGGACAGGGATGGAGGAAGAAGGGAACGGGCCATGAAACAAGCAAATTCTTAGTAGGGTACACTAAAGGTCCACTGGTCCACAAGGATGTTTTGGGCAGTGAGAGTTGTTCTTTTTTTGGATCTGTTTATTGATCTGTTCTGTTTTTGATCTTTTTTTTTATCATCAATGTAAAATACTGCTGCACATTTAGAATAAAGTTTTAATGTATTTGAGTCATGTAATTATTAATTTGAAAAACTAACATCTAGTTTTGAGGATAGGTGTGGGGTAAAGCAAGGGTAGGAACGGGCTGCCAAACCATCAGCGAGCAGTGCTAAACACCTAGTTCTTGTAAGGTTAACATATTTTATTTAATATTTATTAGTTATTTAATATTTTCAAGTGAAATTTTTATTTCATCCTGGGAAATTCCTAAAGCCAACATTAATCAAATGTAGTTTGCAAAATGGTATAGGTTCAGAGACTAACACAAGAAGGCTTTTTTCATATTCATCTGCTTAAAGCAAAGGGTTTTTCTCTCCATGACTTTAAGATGCACGTCTATGAGCAGGATTTATGACATCACAGGTTTAGAATACCATCATTGCCCAATCATTACTACAAGCTATCAGCTGCCTTACAGATGAACCAGATCTAGAAGTCACAGCCTGGTAATCGGTTAAGTTTTGGTATCCACCTCTGGGCCGATATAGGCCAAATCTACAAATGTTTGTGGGGCGATTGCGACCCTATTCTGGCAGTGTCGGTTCAGCTTCAGCACCCGGATTTGGGCCAGTGTACTTGGGCCGATCCCAGGGCGTCAGTCATGCCAGATGCGGCCCGAGTCTGGCAACTGTACCTGGGCCGAGTTAGTTCATCTGGTTTGCCGGATCTGGGCCATCATCGGGCCGCACTATTTTGGCTACCTGGGTAGCTTCGTATTGTGCAGTTATTTTACCATCATTAGTGGCTCTGTGGGCTGCATTGTTAACGTCTCTCCTTTTAGGATCTCACCCAAAATCAGTAATTACTCGCTTTCTTTTCAAATTCAAACGTGTATGTCAGTGGGAGAATAGTGTTTTTGCAAGAGTCGTTTCTTTATATGCATATTACATTTGATATATTGTACCTGATATACTGTATTTTACAGATCATTTAAATAAATTGACTTGATCAGCAAGTTGGTCTTAACAGCTGGTGCAGGGTAAGTTGATCAAATTAGTACTTATAAATTCAGTTTGACATGTTCTATGTAACGTATTTTAGTAACGTGATTTGTTTTGGGACTTTTTTCCCTCCAGGTGCTCACAACATGAGATGGGTGTGTAAAACAGAGATGGAAAGAATGGACTTGCTCAAGGAAATAATGAAGAAAAACAATGACAAGATAATTCCTGAAGAAATGGAGAAATCCTTCTCTTATCGAAGACTAGAAGTGGTCAAGCATTGCCCTGCTGTCCAAGACTTCATTGAGAGATGGCCTGCTCTGTTCTGTGAAGCTCAGGTAAATGTGGTCCTTTTTTTCCATCAGCCATGCTGTGATTGTTGTGTACAGGTTGCAAGATAATTAGTAAAATGCACTCAATCCCCCAGTTTATTTGATACTCCTTGCTAATACAGCCCTAGACATTCTACATTCACTGAGGCTATGATGGGTTTTATTTTAATTGCTTTAGAGAGGTGTTATTTCAACCTGATGGTCATTTTACAGGATGTAAAGCAGGTGAAACTAATGTGAGTGATGAAGAACGTAAAAAGACCGAAACTAAGGTGAAACAAAAACAGGAAGTAATGTCAAAATAAAAGCCGGATGGGAAGCAGCGGAACCGAATCATGACAGCAGTATCTATAACAAGTGTTCACCACCTTGGATGCTTTCATTATTAGATTATTGTGTTTTTATCACCTTTTGTTTCAGATCAAAGAAGAGTTCAGAAGGATAACAACAATACATATGGGGTGGACCTTTTTCTCAGAACTGCACCTTGACACCCCCAAACTTCTGGAGATATTTAAGGCAAAGAGAGGCAGGCATTGCAGGCACAAAGATAAGGCCCATACTAGAGTCACTCAGTAAGGTAAAATTTAATTCTCACATTTAATGAGAAGAGAACTGAAATAATCTTTACAGATCTTTTAAACAACCATTTAGAACTCCTGATCATGGATACTTCGGTCCTTTTTTTGACAAGTCAGTGATACTGTATATGTTTGTTTTCCCTCACTGCTTTCATATGTTTTGTTTAGAAAGCCTAAAATTTGTTAGTTTTGTCGCAGACTCCATTGACTGACCTAAAAATTATGTTGCTTTCTTTCTATATGCAGCTTAGTTATGTACAATAATGTTCTTTGCGATATCTTTTCTATCTGTTGAAACAGCAGCATGCGGAAGGTAAACGAGATGCTGTCATCCGCTGCTTGATAGAGTTCCTCGAAGAGTCTGGAGGACCTTATCAAAGATTACCAGGTACATTTTGACATTTGCTTTCTGATGATTGTTGTCAATATTCAACTTTGGTTTTAATATCTAAACAGTAAAAATTTTTACCATTTCATTTATTCATTGATTTTTGTCATTTATTTCTGCTGTCCCTGTTATTTCTGACTCGAGTGACATTTTATGTTTATGAATTTGAGCCTGCAAAACCCAAAACCTACTGCTTCTGTGAAAAGTATTCACCATTGGGGGTGAATAATTAGACACTGTCCATTGTTGTGTTGAATCCAATATGCTCAGCTGTTTCACTTCTTTCTTGGAACACAGCAGATGTACCTTCATGCTTAAAATCTTGCTTGATGGAAGAGTGACTACTTAGCGCACATTTACTCAATGTTTGGTTCCTAGCTTTGTATTTCTATTCCATCATTGTATGTGTATAGTATTAAATGGCCAGTTTAATCAAGACTTCTATAATAATCAGGAAGTTTGAAAACAACATGTACAGTATATGCATCTGAGTACAGATACTCATGTTTTAACAGGATGTCACCAAAGAAACTGTCAAGGAGGGCTATGCCAAGCAGGTCATGAAGACCTTTGTCATCATTGAGAGTACTGCAACCGAAGGCCCTACTCCTGCTGATGTGTCGATCATCGTCGAGGGAACTGAGGTTCTTGATAACTGTAGATATGTGGCAAAGGCTTGCCTTCTGCTCATGGCCTTTGTCTACGCTATGAACCTAAGCTACACACCAAAACTGAAATACACATTTGAAGTGTTTCAGAAGCTCTTTCTTGAGCTTGATGTCCTTAAGATGTCTCCCAAAGTCCAGTCTTTGCAGAAAAAACTTCTAGCATGAGCATACGTTCCTGGGTTTACTTAACGGTTTAAAACTAAAAACAAGTTATGTGAGTGATTTATGTCCTATTCTTTTTCAAAGCCTTTTCAATTTAAGGCAACAAGAAAATGTTTTTGTACACTATACTGAAGGTGAAGTTCTCTTGACGTGTTAAATGTTTTTACAAATGTTGAGATAAAAGGAATTGGTCCCAGACGGCAAATGTCTTTGTAAACTACATTTACTCACTTTAAGCCGAAATAGTTCCAAAAGGTACTTTGGCTGCATGGTTTTATTGCGTGGCCTGTTTTCTGTTTCAATACACTAACCATTAAAAGGCATGATAACAAATCAGCAGGATTTTAGGTGCTGTGTTGTCTGTGTATGTTGTGAATTAAGGTGTTACTTGGACGCTTATAGCACATAATAAAGATGCTGCTGTTGAAGTCTGTCTTTTTTATGTTGGTGTATTTTTGATTTTAAAAAGGCTTATTTTTTTATAATTATAACTCCATTTTAAGTAAACATTACTTAAATATAACTGAAATAAAAGTGAACAAAAGCAAGTATTTATGCAAATGCATTCTAAATAAAAATTACTAAGAGTGAGTAAGATTTTAGTACCAGTAACAGAAAATTTCAAGTAAAGTTTACTTGAATACATCTATAGAAACTACTCTGTGTATTTAAGTACAATTTACTTAGGATTATCCCATGTAAAATTTATTTAGAATTTCTGTGTGGAAATTGTTGCCTAGGTTTTTTCAAGTAAATTTCACTCCCAATTTTTTGCAGTGTGTGTGGCGAACATTTGCCATTTGCTATAACTCTTATGTGACAAAGCATATAATTCGAGGCAGTAGGTTAACCAAGGAGCTAATTGTTCATCCCTTAGATTAGATTAGATTAGATTAATATAGCGTCTAAAGAGTCATGACAGACATTTAGCATGTAAGGGCATGTTTATTTAAATTTGCAATTTATAAGAGTTATATTGTAACCTACAGTATTTTAATATCAATTTAACATGCAATTCAATTGCAATTTCAGGGGCACTTCTAAAATATTTTGGAGCATCCTCTGCCACCAGTCAGGATGAGCCACCCACCTCCCCCACTACACAGGACTCTGCTGGTCTCTACTCTTCAGGATGAGCTACCATCTATGTCCTCAGCTACTCATAGGTCTCCACAAATATCTGATATTGAGGATGAAGACCTCTTTGCCTCTACTTCTACCCAGCATGAAAGGGTAAGATGGAGAGCAGTGCCGAAACGTCTCACTGTTATTGTACACTCACTGGCATTTCGAAATTCGGCTCCAAGGGGACACACAGAAACACTGTTCACACCATCAAATGGGAATTTTCTCAAAGAGGTCGAACTTATGGCCAGGTTTGATCCCATTATGAAAGATCACCTTAACCGTGTTGAAAGAGGAACAGCAAGGCACAACAGCTACCTAGGCCATCATGTGCAGAATGAGCTGATTGATTTGTTGAGCAGCAAAATTATATCTGCTACAGTGGATGAGATCAAGCAGGCAAAGTTTTTTTCAATAATTCTGGACTGCACCCCAGATATAAGCCACACAGAACCATTGTCAGTGGTCAGAGTGGTGTCACTGATGGAGAAGCCCCATATCAGGGAACATTTTTATGCGATTTTTGGAGGCAGAGGAGTCCACAGGCCAGCACTTAGCATCCATGATCCTGACGAGACTTGAGGAGTTGGGAATTCCTTTTGAAGACTGCAGAGGACAATCATACGACAAAGGGGCAAACATAAAAGGCAAAAATAAGGGAGTTCAAGCAAGGCTCTTGGAAAAGAATCCCTGAGCTCTGTTTGTGCCATGGGGGGGCATACATTGAATTTAGTTGTGTGTGATGCTGCTAAGGGATCTGTTGATGCTATGAGTTACTTTGGTGTCCTGCAAAAGCTTTACACATTATTTTCAGCCTCCAGCCAAAGATGGGCCATACTGAAGAACCATGTGAGCATCACCTTAAAGATGTGGTCATAAACAAGGTGGGAGAGCAAGGTCAAGAGCATCGAGCCCATAAGGTACCAGGGAGCTGCCGTGAGGGAGGCTTTAATTGAGGTGAGAGACACCACCAAAGACCTTGCTATAAAGGCTGAGGCCCAGTATTTGTCTGAGGAGGTGGGGTCGTACCGCTTCAGCATCTGCATGGTTGTTTGGTATGACATGCCATCTGCAATACACAGGGTGTCCGCGGGGTTTTAAAAAGTATTAAAAAGTGATTAATCAAAATTGCCAAATTTAAGGCCATTAAAAAGTGTTTAATTTGGTTTAGAGGTATTATTTTTTTAAAAATAGGTCTTATTTTTTCAGACTATGGTGTCCTATTCTGATTAAAATTCTATCTGCTAAAATTTGCGCTAGTTCGTTTAAATGTGGGCTTTAGCATATCGGGGCACATAATCAAAGATCCTCGTCTAGTCTCAACTTTGTATGTTTGATGCTGACGTCACATTCAGTGGTCGTTCGAGATCTCAAATACATTGCGCGCTCAGCCCAACTGGATAGCAAACTGGCTAGCTTACATTGTTGACTAGTCCAGACAACCATCGTCGTCGTCATGGGCAAATGCAGGTTTTCTGACAGCTGGATGGAAGACCCAGCATTTAAGGACTGGCTCAGGCCTGCAGTAGGGAATAACCGGCAGGCTTATTGTTCGGTTTGTAAAAAAAACATCAATGTCAACTGGATGGGAGCTAGCGCACTTCGGTCGCATATGCAATCAACTAAACATAAAAATGGAATGCGCGGTAGGCGAGAGCAATTAACTCTACTCTCAACTTTCTGTGCTGCTGCACCACCACCACCGCAAACTAGTGCCACAGTGCAAGCCAACGTTTTGGCTCCAGGAACTACGTCTGACCTCTGGGTGACTATGGGCGCCACACCAACACTGCGTGCAGAGGCTCTGTGGTGTCTAAACACTGCAGTTAAACACCACTCATTGAACTCCAACGAAGGAATTGCGGAGCTGTTTAAAGAAATGTTTCCCGACTCTGACATCGCCAAGTCATTCACGTGTGGTAAAGACAAAACCGGGTACATCATCAGATTTGGATTAGCATCGTTCTTCAAAAAACAGCTTGTCGATGGCATCAACAAGGCTGGGCCATTTGTGTTGATGTTTGATGAGAGCCTCAATCAGGCGTCAAAGAAAAAACAGCTTGACATCCATATTCGATACTGGGAGGATGGCCGTGTCCAGTCCAGATACTTTGGATCTCAGTTTTTGGGACATGGAAGGGCCGACGATTTGTTGCATCACATCAAGGTAAGTTAATATTCTTTATGCTATATAGGCCTACCTAGGCGGTGTCCTGTGGTCACTCATTTCAAGAATTATTTATTCACAAAGATTTTATGTGTTATAGGACAATGTTTGGCAAACTTATTGTTAGCTACACAAAAGGATTAAATTGGCCAAAGGCCTGCAGTCACTTGAATGAAAGCTGTAGGCCTATCTGCTTTTATTAATCTGTGGGGTATAGCTCCAAAGTACAAG